TGAGGTTTGAATGCCCATTGATTCCTGGTAGCTGTTCATGTATACTTCATAGAATCATAAAATTAAGTATCCTTCAGTCTCGAGAAACTATGGTAATGTGCTCTGAATAGAGGACTTGGAACAGCGTCTAGAGTGGCTGAGAAGGCCAATTCAAGAGTGACAGTCCCAAGAATGATGCTCAGATGTCAAGGTTTCCCATCTGTTGAGGTCCATTCCTAAGGCCTTCAGATCCCGCTTGCAGATATCCTTGTATCGCAGCTGTGGTCTCCCTCTGGGGCGATTTCCCTGCACTAATTCTCCATACAGGAGATCTTTTGGAATCATATAATAATTGAGTTGGAATGTGCCTATGACATCGAGTCCAACCCCTTGCTCAATGAAGGAATCCTATATGCATAGCATAGCATAGCATATGGGTATAGTAAACATATTTTAGAGGTTGCTTATTCACAGAGTCACCATAGGTTGGAGGTTACTTTGTGGCATTTAACAACAGCAACAGTAAGTACATGCCTTCTGTGTTTGCTGCTCAGCAAGGTGATCATACAGGAGTGGAATGTTCTCTGTGAGCAACAAGCAACTCATCCCGTCCACCTCCAACACTGAAGTGGCATTCAGGCACGAATGTCTGGTGCCATTCTGAAAGAAGCAGACGTCCTGCTTCTCTGCTGTTGCTCTTTGTTTTGTTTTTTACGTTACTCTTGTGGAAGAGAATACAGTACTGCAGGTTTCCTCTGTTAATTGCCAGAATGTTACCTCTGGTGACTGCATTTATGTTCCTTGAGTCTTGTTTTCTATATTTTTTTCTGAGGCTCAGAACTTGAGGTTTTTTTGGGCACAAAATTAGGACACTTTTCGTAGGGCTTGAATAGTGATCATATGTATATAATTCACTCTGCAAATTCTCTCAACTTTGGGTTTTGGCAGTGAGTTTAATGGGTTGTTGTTAATGCTGAATAAAGAGGTGTGATCTGTTTATTTGTTTGTTAACTTGCTTCCTCTAAAGTTACCAGAAAAGTTCCCACAGATGTTTTCTGTGTGATACAGTAAATGTCGTTTCTCCCGTTGGTGCTGTTCATAATATTAAATATTCCAGCTTTGAGTCATACATTTTTGTGACTTTTCAAATTAAAGAACAAAGAGACACAACTCTCTTGGAACTTTTATGTATGCACATCCCATAGAACTGAATGGGAGCTTCACAAGCATAGCTCTCATGCAATTCCATTAATTCCTAGTGTCTGTTAAACAGATTGTTCTCTGAGTTACAGGCTATTTGTGCTTATCATGTGCCAGTAAATCCAGGTATTTAGCATTTAAATGTATGCTTAGGAGTGAGAAGAAGGTCATTCTAACTCTCTATACTTACACAATACCTTTATGACTCATTCACATATTACAGATAAAATGGTATGGAATAGAATGTAATGGGACCTCTCCAATCTATAACCACAAGCAGGTCCATGGGAGGAGAGTGACTGAGTCTTAGTATTTCCTGTTGTTCACATGCATATGTTGTTCACATATCAAAAGATCACCTTCTAAGCAGTGGTCCTACAGTAAACCAACTGTCTAGCGCAGTGATTCCCAACCTTGGGTCCCCAGGTGTTCTTGGATTAAAACTCCCAGAAGCCTTCACCACTAGCTGGGCTGACCGGGATTTCCGAGAGTTGTAGTCCAAGAACATCTGAGGACCCAAGGTTGGGAACCACTGGTCTAGCGTATACACAGTTTATTGCCACTTGGTTCATGCAGCACTACTCTGTTGAGCTAACTAGTGCACAAGTCTTAGCATGATGACTACATCCTCTAGTGCCTTGGTTCACCTTCTCACTATGATCTACTTTCAGCCCCACTTGATAAAATTGGATCTCTGCCTCAAGTAAAGATGCCCTGAATAATGTGTTTCATTTATCCACAAGACTGTTGGTCTGTTGAAGATGATGATGGGGAGGTTGGAACAGGAAAGCCACCATTTCAGTGGAAAATTGAGTTCTTTGAAGTGACTGGATGTCCTCAGGAATCAAGTGGTGTAAACCAATATCAGATATACTAGGAAAGAAACAGCCAGTTTGAGTAATGCATCTAGTTACTTATCTCTCAAAAAAACCTTCTCACTATTAGAGTTATTTATCTTCAGATAATATCCATGTGCAAAATTTTAACAGAGATAGAAAAACAAAGGTGCCCAGCTACACCCTTGTACACCACAGAATATGGATGTTCAAAATAAAAATGACTGGGAAAATAAGTTGCAGTAGTTTCTTGAGAGCAAATGAGCACATTTATGAACTATACAATTTTGCATACTTTATCCCTCTTTTTGGTATGGAATACTTGTAGAATATCTTTCTCTTGCTGTTTTATCCAGCAGAGGGACCCAAGAACCTAAAATGTGGGTTTTACTTACAAGAAGTTTTTAAAAATAATGAATTTAAGTTACAAGAAAGGAGAGGTCCACTACATATTAGAAAGAATTTCCTAACAGTGACCGGTCAGGGATGCTCTTGGGTTTACCATTCCCTTCTTCTGCAGGCATCCTGGGACTGTGCAGGTTTCCTGCACTGGCAGGAGCTCCTTGGGGCTACATCTAGCTCTGCAGTTCTATGATTCTGTGATAAGTAACGACTTAGCATTACCAGACTGCACGTTACTGAAATAATGATGATAACGGCAGCAGCAGCAATAGCAGCAGCAACAACAACAATGAAATCTGGAATTGACAAATGCGCAGCTCTGTCCATACACATGGCAAGATCCAAAACCTAGTTAAAAATGGCAATATTATAAAATCACTATCAAGTGATGAAAACTACATCAGAATACTAGAAACAGATAACATCCTGCACACAAAAGTTAAAGATCAGACAGAAAGGGTATACATCAACAGGCTGCTGAAAACCTTAAATCATAATTGAATGGTAATAATATAATCAAAGCCAAAAACACATGGGCAGTTCCAGTGATTAAAGACCCAGCTGGAATAATAGATTGGACCCAAAAGGAATGAGAAGAACTGGATCAAAAAACACAAAAACTAACAAACATGAAATCACACACTTCGTCCAAAAAGTGATGTGGACAGATTTTATTTACTAGAAAAAATTGGAGACCATGAATTACTGCAAGTACAGCAGATAGTAGAGGAGGAAAAAGAAGCCGAACTGATTATATTAGTACAGCTAGAAAAAATTACATAAGGTGGTGAAAATGGAGAATATTTTGATAACAACAGAAACAAAGGCTCAATATAAGAAACAACAGTTTGAAAATAAACAGCTGGGGAAATTTTCCCTATAGATTGCGGTGGCCAATGGATTCTTTCATTTGCTCCTTATTAGTCACTTTTCATGCATACAGCTTTGGGAACAATATGAAAACTACATCAAGCACAAAAGAACTCAAAATTTTCTGTATAACGTTTGGAGCCGAATGACATACAGTGTCCAATGCTTCTTCTTTTTTTCTTTTCTTCTTTCCTTTCCTCCCTCCCCCCTGCATTTTACACTCAGGTTTTTTAAGTGCAAATTGCATCTGCCAAGGGGCCAGAAATTAATGGAATCAGAGGAGCAGGACCCTGGGATGGTCCTGAGGAAATTCTTTTTGTGAAGAATGTAGTTACATTGGCAAGAAATTCCTCATTGGTAGTGTTGTCTCTAGGTTCCGTAGCTGTTCTGAGATTTTTTAATACCAGAGACGAACACACCATGTCAGTACTTTTGTTCACACAAGGGGAGGGTACTTGTTTCTTGATGTAGTGGAAAGCACTGACTCATCCCTGTACCAGTCATCTAGACAACCCAGAATTGCTCTCTGAGTTCTCATTTGCAACACAAATAACTCTTCCTCCCTCCTACTGCACTGTCCTCCCTTCCCTCCTTTTTTTTAACTCATCCACAACCAGCAGAAAAATGGCAGTAAGGAAATGTGACTTTGGGTCTTTTAAGGAGAAAGACAGGGTAAAGATAGACAGACAGAGAGACAGAGAGACACTGGAACAAATTGGAGCAAAACAAACAAAAATGCCACCCAACAGTGGTTTAAAACAACAACCACCAGAAAGCACATTTTTCTGACTTGCTTTGGCTCTGTTGACACTGGTTTCAGCACTGCTTTGTGCAAACACTGGCCTGCTGGTAAGAACACAAGTACAGTGGTGCCTCGCCTAACAGGCGCTCCGTTTAGCGATGAAATCACTTAGCGATGAATTTTTCAGAGCATTTTTGCGCTTCGTTTAGCGATGGTCCCTATGGACGATTTTCGCTTAGCAATGGTTGGGACCATGCTTCTCATAGCGATTAAACTTTGGGTCCTCTGTTTTGCTTAACGATAGTTTAAATAGCCTCATGTTTGCTGTTTTTTAAATGTTTTTCTGTTATTTATAAAGTTAAAGTTTACTGTTTAAAATGTTTGAAATCATAAAGTGCACTTAATAAACCCTTTGTTAACCAAATTTGACTTTGTTCTCTTTTTTAATTTGTTGTTGTATTTTCCCCCCATTGACATGCATTGAATATTCAATGCATTTCAATTGGGGAACCGCGTTTTGCTTAGCGATGTTTCCTATGGCGATTTTCGCTCAAGGATGGCAATTCGTTCCTATTGGAACGGATTATCCGGTTTTCAATGCATTTCAATGGGAAACCATGTTTCGCTTAGCGATGGAATCGCTTAGCAGTGATTTTTTCGGAACGAATTAACATCGCTAAGCGAGGCACCACTGTATACAACTTTCCAGGAATAAAGCCACTAGGGGGCAACTGAACTTGGAAAATGTTAGGTAAGGAGAGGGAAAATTGCTGTATCCCATACCTTGCTTTGGGGAATTTTTGATTACTGGCTTTAAAAGTGCCAACCAGAAGATGGCAGGCATGTGTGAACACATGTGTGCAAACAAACAGAGACACACACGTAGCCATGATCAGTTGGAAGCTCCAATGTATACAAGACAGTATGTAAGAGTGTCCTGCAAGCTCATCTTCTGTTTTTTTCTGCATCAGGTGACCAACTGAATTCTGAAGAGAAGAAGAAGAGAAAGCAGAGGAGAAACCGAACGACCTTCAACAGTAGCCAGCTACAGGCACTGGAGAGAGTCTTTGAGAGGACACACTATCCAGATGCTTTTGTACGAGAGGATCTTGCACGCAGGGTCAACCTCACTGAAGCCAGGGTTCAGGTGATTAATCCAATTTTCATGTGAACATGTTTCATCCAGGAGGTGACATAGGGCATCTTCTGTCTCCATTGCTACTCAATTTAATTTTATTTTTAAAAGGGACAGGAGTCTTCTTTCTTCTTTCCTCTAAGTTCTTGTAAATAACTTGCAGAAATTGTAACTGTTCTTCCATTCTAAATAGAATATGACATTTTGGCTCTTTTAGTCCTGGATTGCTCATCCCTTTCAAATATATAACAGTATGCAAGAGCCACAAGATTTGTGTTGCACATAGTGTTTGCAATTACAGACAAAAATACCCTTTTCATGATTTGATGTCATTTAGTATATTGCTCTTTTCGGTTCAGTGTCGAAGCAAAATTTCAATGTATTTTATAAAAAGAAGACAACATGTTTCCAATTAATGAAATGGTGAGAAATTGCAGTGCTTGTTTAACGTGGATAATCCCACTCTTAAATTTTGTAAAGTGGACAGTATTGTCCTACCTAGATTCTAAAACAATCAATCATCAGAGCTGTAACTAAAAACATTTCATTATTTATTTTTGTCTTGAGAAATAGTTCCAGTTGTTGCAAAATTATGTAAGCAAATATTCAGCCACATGAAAATATAAATGTTTGTTTATTATGACTAATAAAAAACAAAATGTTAGAGATATATTTTCTAACTGTTGCACTAGGTAGAAGGGTGTCACCTATTTTCCACAAAAGAGACAGAAACTTCTATCTATTTGATAGAATTTCTGAGAGTTAAGTGTGATTGAAGAAGAGTGTCATTATGTTATGTCATTAGATTTCAACAGCCCTAATTTTAACCAGATATCAGGTGCTGCATGGAGTTCAGTGCACTTGTGTTACAGAATAAAAGCCGGTTATTGAAGCACATCAATTTAAAACCAATTAATTCTTGAAATAATTATAGAAGACAATGTTGTTACAGATCTAATCACCTGAGGAGGTTTGAGCATATTCTTTTAGTAGAGGATAATGTGGGTTCTGAACCCAAGCTAGGTTGATGTATTGCTGTAGTGCTATGTTGCTTACTGTTTTGTCTCCTATGTTATTTAACATCTACATGAAGCTGCTAGGAGAGGTTTCCAGATTTTGGGGTTCAGTGCCACCAGTATGAAGATAACACTAAACTCAATCTCTCCTTTCTGTCTAAATCTGAGGAAGCTGTTTCAGATCTAGATCTATCTTTGGCTTCAGTAATGGACTGGATGAGAGTGAATAAACTGAAACATAATCCAGATAAGACAGAGGTGTTCCTGGTCAGTTGAAAGGCAGATCGAGGAACAGGGATTTTCTCTGTGCTCCCTCTGAAGACACAGCTGTACAGTTTGGGGGTGCTTCTGGATTCATCTCTGCCATTTTTCTAATTTTTAATGTATCTTTAAATTTTTTTAAGTAACTAAAATCAATGAGTTATTCTTTAACTACTTGAAGAAGTAATATTAATGTGCTGCACTAAATATAACATCAAAATAAACAATCAAATAAGAACTTATAAAATATACATTTTTAAAAAATCCAAGCTCTATTGAATGCTTTATGCAAGAAAAAAGGATAGTATCCAGCCAAAGCTGTCATTTTAAGTCTCTGAAACCAAGTGTAACTCATTCACATTAAAACCAAAACAAGTTCCAACCATTTCATATGGACTGGATTCTTCTCAGATTTTTCCCCCTAGACAACTGAGAGCTCTCATAGTTTGTAGAGAGTAGTGTTCTTTTTAAATCCAACCTACAAAATTCCAGAGTGGGGAACAATGATTAAATTCTCGAAACAGCTGTAGGACTTCTCTGCTTTAACGATTAGAAAGAACTCAGTGGAAATGAGAAAAATGTATAGAAAATTTATGGTTATTTTTAAAGCTGAATTTATGGCACAGGCCACGTTCTAGGCCAAGTAATGCTGCCAAAAAAAAAAAGCTTGCAAGGCTATGGATTTTGCTGAAGTTCTCATAGAGGTGCCCTATCTATTTTTAATCCTAAAAACATATGCTCGCTTCATTTACTAAGGTGAGAGCCAGGGGGCCTCCCAAGACTGTCAACTATATTTTGGAGAAAAGGAGGGGAAAAAGCAAATGGATTAAACTGTCTATGCAGTTGCCTGCATACAGTCATCTCTGTCAGCAACAGAAATAATTTCCTCCCTCTTGAATCTGTGGCACTTATTCTGATCCCGCTATAGAATCTGACAGCTGTACAAGTGTAATGGAAGAGGCTGGGAGGAAGCCCTCACTTGTGTGTGCACTACATGCTGTAAAGTTGTGTCTGACTTATTGCAATCAATGAATTAAGGAGCTTTGAAAGCTCCTGCCATTAACAGCCCTGCCCAGGTCTTCCAGACTAAGGGTCATAGCTTATTCATGGAGCCAGTTGACATGGCTCACAAGGTCAGTGGCAGAGGAAACCATTCTCCCAGTTCTCAAGTGCCGTTCACATCAATGGGAGGTGTGAAAAATGGACTCAGCCTGTCCAGACAGGGGAATTTTGAGTGGTCTGGCTCATACTTAAAAGGTTCCTATGCACAGTGCAATCAATTTTATCTCTCACTTGAGCAATCCTTCTGTACATACTGGAGATTTTTATTCTCCTGTGAGAAGGGTCCACACAAGTCTTTGGATCTCCAGTTTACTCATAATTAAAGTTTACCTGATTTACTTGCAAGTAAAGAGGCAGTGGTGGAGGACAATGGCAATGGGGCAAACTCACAGCAGCAATACTGGTGTGAGGTAAAAATGTTGGAGTGAAGGTTGGGGGACAGAAAGAACCTCTACTTAAGAATGTCCCTGCTGAAGAACGATCCAACTTAAGAACAGCTCCATTCGCTAAATTTTGCTTCTACTTGAGAACGGAGCTCCAAGATAAGAATGGGGAAAAAAAACTTTCCTGCCCTTTTTTAAACCTTAGGTCATCTTAGGTTAAAAGAAAAAATTCTCCCCCTAGTGGTAGAGGATGGATTAACCGGCTTTGCAGTAGTTCCTATGGGAACTAATGCTTCGACTTACAATCGGAACCTCTACATACAAACAAAAAACAGCTGGAACAGATTAATTGGTTTTCAGTGCATTCCTATGGGAAATGCTGACTCGACTTACAAATGTTTCGACTTAAGAACACCATTCCAATATGGATTAAGTTCTTAAGTAGAGGCTCCACTGTAACACCTTTTTTTCTGTCTTTCTCTTCAGCTGAGGGTCTACTGGGACTGCACTGCCTTATGGGGCAGAACCTGGGGAGTTGGCATAGCCCCCTTCTCACCTTTTCTTGCAGCTGCCCTTCAGCTGGCCATAGTGGCTTTACTTTTTAAATTATTATTAAATAAAGTAAGTGGTGTATCAAAAGAGCAATGCATCAACCTACAGTAGCACGGCATTAGAATTGTGCTGCATAAGTTAGACAGATTTGACAAAACTCTATTAGCCTTTGTCCTGCTTCGTTCTGAACTCCAATGCCAAACTTCCCTGTTGTTCCTTTTATCTCTTGGCTCCCTACTTTAGCATTCCAGTCCCCTAGAATGAGACTGGAGCACAGGCTACACAACAGAATAATTAGCAGCATGCTGAATCATGCCAAAAAAACCAGAGGCCCCTTGTCTTGTGGGAGTGGGGTAGCTCTTAAAAGGGCAAGATGGGTCAATCTAAGTAAAGACACAATACAATTTGGTTTGAACCAAACAATAGCAACAACAATCCAAATACCAGTCTGTATACCCATCTGGGAAGTGTTTAGCCAATCCACAACTCATATCTGATACAATAGTTAAAGAGTAGAAAAGATAATGTCTTAAAGAGCAGAAAAGAGAAGGTTTTGAATGTGCTGGAGAAAGGGAACACAAAAATCATGCAACACTGATTTTTTTAAGGATATGGAAGCATTCTTAAGTATAGGAAACCGTGGCCTAGTCAGAAAAAATCAATAGAGGTAGTATCAGGGTGTGGGGGCACTGCTCTTTCTTGAACGCAAAATCTTGTACTTTGAACAACTGAGAACTCTATTGTTTCTGCATCAAATGTGCTCCTTAGTTGAGTGAGGTTGAACAGAAAGGCCAGGAGATTCTGTGGGGAGAACAGCCGCCTCCATTAATTGGCATTTCCATATACTGTATATTTGAGTTTGCCACCCAAGAACCTGACTAGAAATGGCAGCTATGCATGCACAAACTCTCTGTAATCCCAAAGGCCAATCTTTCTGTGCAGCAAATGTTAAATGCCTGGCACCCAAGGCAGACAAATCTTGACTCTTTACTTTAAGGCCTCTCCCCTCCACTCAGATCTAGCCCAAGAGAGAGGATGGAGTGGCACCAAGCTCTGGCTCATTCCTCACCCTTTTCACTCTTAATTCCTTTTCCTTCTGGACAGAGACTTAGCCTCAAGTCAACAAAGTAGGACTAGGATCTGGGAATTGAACAGCTCCTTTTATTCACAGGCAAGGCGTTAGTCCTTTGACATGCCAAGGGTATTTCTCCTTCTGGGAGGATAGAGAAAGCTAAAAAGGTCAACCAGTGCCAGGGAGGTCTTTGGATAGCCAGCAGCGTCTGGTCTGCCTGCTATTCATGTGAGCAGCTGTAATGTGTAGCCAAGAGCTCAGCATGTGCTCAGTAAGGAGGTGTCACAAAGTCCAACTCCCACATCTTATGTTTCTGGTAAGAGATGTACAGTACAGCAGATACATTTACACTCCAAAACATACCGTCTGAATTTCCTCTGTGGGTGGCAAGGAGTTAGTCCTTTGACATGCCAAGGGTATTTCTCCTTCTGGGAGGATAGAGAAAGCTAAAAAGGTCAACCAGTGCCAGGGAGGTCTTTGGATAGCCAGCAGCGTCTGGTCTGCCTGCTATTCATGTGAGCAGCTGTAATGTGTAGCCAAGAGCTCAGCATGTGCTCAGTAAGGAGGTGTCACAAAGTTGAACTCCCACATCTTATGCTGCTGGTAAGAGATGCACAGCAGATACATTTGCACTCCAAAACATACTGTCTGAATTTCCTCTGTGGG